ATCTTTATGTTACCTATTCAAGAACAAATCTTTGCATTTGTTCAATTTGACTTTTGTGTCTGTCAGCAGTGTTTTAAAATTTCCTCCTATGGTTTTTTATGTTTCTTAGTACAGTTATTTAATCTTCTTTGTTGTTATTGTCTGTGGAATTTTGTCTGCGATTATGTGTTTCATTTATTATATATTTTCATAATAGCTGTATCGAGATGTAATTCACATACCGTACAGTTCATCCATTGAAGTTTACATTTCAGTGATTTTAAATATTATATTCACAGAATTTTGCAACCATCACTATAATTTTAGAACATTATTTTCTAAATCAGTTATTACCCCAAAAAGAAATGGAATACCCATTAGCAGTCATTCTCCATTTCTTCCCAAATCCTGCCTTTTTTGTCGTTGTCTTTAATAGTTTTTCATCTCAGCTACATACGGGTTTTCTTCTTTGGAGGTCTGACATCCTACTTGCGATTCAGTAAGTGGAGGACTGAGAGAAATAGTGGTGTGCTAAAAACAGTGTTTCAGTTTACTAGGAAATATTTCAGAGTTCAAAGAAAAGTATAATATAACATCCCCATCTTAAATTAAAAAACAGGAAAGAAAAGGGAATTGAGATATATTGTGTTCTTGCTAAATATTAGTCGTTGTGTTAAGTTGCTTGTCCTAAAATGGTCCTGTGTTTTTCAGATGATACCCCACTTACCTCCGGCCAGTTTTATAGACTAGAAAACTGAGCTTTCAAGCAGATTAAATAACTTGTCCAAGTTCATACAGCTGTAGAATGGTAGAGCCAGGATTTAAACCTAGGGGGTTTTGTTTTATTGTTTTGATGCAAGTGAAAACTCTTTAGTGAATATGTTCACTAACCACAGAACATCTTAAAAGTTCCAAAATTTAGGGCTTATAGAGATAGTTAAATTAAAGGATGTTGGCTAATGACAGCAACATCAGGAGCCTAAAGAAGTATACGTTATTTTCCATTGGTACTAATGTAATGAAACAATATGATCTCCTTGACTACTTTGGAGAAGAGGCTAAAGGTTTATGCTTTTCTCTGTTGTGTCTATGAACAGTTTTGTCTTTGGTCAAATGATGTTGTCCCAATAAAGATCTCCTTGGAAAAAGTGAAGGTGTTTAACCAGCACCTTGTACTAGGGTTTAGTGCCTCTGCCTTTGTGAAAATGCATAATAATCATTCCTTCCTAAAAGTGAAGTTGCAAAATACCCTTAATCGCTACAAACATTCTCAATAGGTAATCTGGCAGAGCTTGCTTAGTGTTAAATATTTCGAGGGATGAATTTGAAAAGTTCTGTCTATATGAGGATTACCTTAATGATCAATCATAAGTTAAAAGCCCTGATGAGTTATTTTCTATTAAGGTAAAGGAACCACAAAAGTATCATATGTTTGTTGTAACCTGGTCTTCTGTGAGCAAAGATACTGTGCGTGACTTTGGAGAAAAGAGCTGTCACTGTTTAATCATAAACATTTCCTTAAAGATGCTAGGTGTGGTGGCTCACATCTGTAATCCCAGCACTTTGGGTGGTCCAGGCAGGAGGATCACTTGAGACCAGGTGTTCAAGACCATCGTGGGCAATGTAGTGAGACCCAGTCTCTATAAAAAATATTTTTTAAAAATAGCCAGGTATGATGGCATGGGCCTGTAGTCTCAGCTACTGGGGAGGCTGAGACGGGAGGATTGCCTCAAGGCTGCTGTGAACTATGATACCACTGCACTCCAGCCTGGGCAAAAGAGTGAGACCCTGACTCAAACAGACAAAAAAAATTTCCTTAAGGAGAAATCTTGAATTTTACTGGAAGGAAAATCAAAGGAGGTAAATGATGTGACTAAGAGGTCACAATTAATGGCAGAGATAGACTAGATTCTAGGTCTCCTGAGTTTGAGTCTAATAATCCTTTTTGTTAATAAACCTACTATGTATATGCATAACTAAAATAGCCTTTGGAAGCCTCTGTTTCGTTCTTTAGTTCATTTTAACCTGCAAATCCCAAATGAGGCCCAGTTGATATGGTTATATCATCTTATAATACTATAAGTATTATTTAGAATTACGGATGTGATTATTTCTTTTATAAAAGCATTTATTGTTTTTAGATTATAATGTTTTCTGATTATCATTTTAGAAAATTTGGAAATAAAGAAAAATGACGTATAATCATACATGTAAATATGTAATTATTACATATATCTACAGAAATAGCCAAATGCATTACAAAAACACACCAGCTCTTTAGTGGAGCTAAAGAGATGTACATTTTATGTTCCACTTTTTTCTCTCAAGATTATTATTATTATTTACTTTTCATTTAATATTTTATACATCTAAATTTTTCTAATTTCTTGTTTTGTTGATTTTTTTTTTTTTGCCTTCCTCCCCATAGATCTTGAGCCAGATGATTGTGCATCCATTTACATCTTTAATGTAGATCCACCTCCATCTACTTTAAACTCACCACTTTGTTTACCACATCATGGATTACCGTCTCACTCTTCTGTTTTGTCACCATCGTTTCAGCTCCAAGGTCACAAAAACTATGAAGGAACTTGTGAGATTCCTGAATCTAAGTATAGCCCCTTAGGTGGTCCCAAACCCTTTGAGTGCCCAAGTATTCAAATTACATCTATCTCTCCTAACTGTCATCAAGAAATAGATGCACATGAAGATGACCCACACATAAATGATCCAGAAAGGGAATATTTGGAAAGGCCTTCTAGAGATCATCTCTATCTTCCTCTTGAGCCATCCTACCGGGAGTCTTCCCTTAGTCCTAGTCCTGCCAGCAGCATCTCTTCTAGGAGCTGGTTCTCAGATGCATCTTCTTGTGAATCTCTTTCACACATTTATGATGATGTGGACTCAGAATTGAATGAAGCTGCGGCCCGGTTTACTCTTGGATCCCCTCTGACTTCTCCTGGTGGCTCTCCAGGAGGCTGTCCTGGGGAAGAATCCTGGCATCAACAGTATGGACTTGGACACTCCTTGTCACCTAGGCAGTCTCCTTGCCATTCTCCTAGATCCAGTGTCACTGAGGAGAATTGGTTGAGCCCCAGGCCAGCTTCAGGACCCTCATCAAGGCCCACTTCCCCCTGTGGGAAGCGGCGGCACTCCAGTGCTGAAGTTTGTTATGCTGGGTCCCTTTCACCCCATCACTCACCTGTTCCTTCTCCTGGTCACTCCCCCAGGGGAAGTGTGACAGAAGATACCTGGCTCAATACTTCTGTCCATAGTGGATCAGGCCTTGGCCCTGTGCTTTTTCCATTTCAGTACTGTGTAGAGACTGATATCCCTCTGAAAACAAGGAAGACTTCTGAAGATCAAGCTGCCATACTACCAGGAAAACTAGAGCTCTGTTCAGATGACCAAGGGAGTTTATCACCATCCCGGGACACTTCAATAGATGATGCCCTTGGATCTCAGTATCCTTTAAAGAAAGATTCATCTGGTGACCAATTTCTTTCAGTTCCTTCACCCTTTACCTGGAGCAAACCAAAGCCTGGCCATACCCCTATATTTCGGTGAGTTGATGGAAATGGTCATTTTTTCATGCTTACAGGTCATTGGTGGCATGTTACTACATTATCTGTATGTAATGGTGTGACTATTTCTCCTCCTCTTCCTTTCTTTTAGAAAATTTTCTGCCAGACAAATAATTTAAAGTTCATATTTATTTTCATTTGAGTCTTAAAAGTATTTTTAGGTGGGCTAAATATAATTTTAAAAGTGTACAGGTAATACTTAGAAATCCCTAGAAGGAATTTTCTTATCTAGAAAAATGTCTTGTAAAAGATGGATTATAGTATGAATTAAATTACTAATAAAACTAATTGGGAATAGGCTTATTTTATTTTTAACACCTAAACATATGAATGAAATTCGTTGTGTTATATTGTGGCAAGCTTTTTTTCCATAATTTATTTATTTATTTTTTGACTTTATAAGTTTATGTGGTTTTTTTGTTGTTATAGAGGAATTTTTAAATTTTATGTATTCAAATTTGTCTTTTCCTTTATGGCATTTCAGAGCTTAACGATTATTTTCCAAATGGCTTATCAGTTGTCAAAATACCATTTAAAGAATCAATCTATTACTTACGTTTTCCCATTTAAAAACAAAACAACAAAAAAAGAATCTAGTCTATAATTGATTAGAAAAGGCAGCTTTTATCATATATTAAATTCCCACATGGAGTTGAGTCTGTTAGGGTTTTTTTTTTTTAAATGCTTTTCATTAGTGTGACTATTTCTGAATGCTGATCTTTAGAAAAATACAGTGTGGAGTTATGGTATCAAGGACACCTTTAAACCCATTGCTCTGCTTCTGAAATTTATCTTAATCTTTCTAGGGCTTTGCTTAAGCCTGCAGAGCAAGTACAGAATCAAATGAGAGTTGAAGAAGTTGAGTTGTTTCAGACTAATAAAAATTAATACCTTTTTCTGTATAATGCCAATATAATAAAAAAAATTAATACCTTTCAGCTTCATAGTAGAATGACTTAGAGCTAGGCTGAGGGCATTGAAGAAAGCAATGAAATAATTTAGAAATTTTATTTGACCTGTAGACATATATAGTTGTTTCTTTTCTATTCCTTTTTGTTTTTTTGAGGCAGAGTCTTGCTCTGTCACCCGGGCTAGAGTGTAGTGGCATCAGCCTAGCTCACAGCAATCTCAAACTCCTGAGGTCAAGAGATCCTCCTGCCTTAGCCTCCTGAGTAGCTGGGACTACAGGTATGGCCACCACACCCAGCTAATTTTTCTATTTTTTGGTAGAGACTGGGTTTCCTCTTGCTCAGGCTGGTCTCGAATGCCTGAGCTCAAGCAGTCCTTCCATCTTGGCCTCCCAGAGTGCTAGGATTATAGGCGTGAGCCACCGCGCCTGGCTCTATTCCATATTTTTAATGTTAATAGATCTAAAAATGAACCTATGGGCTTTTTAAGGTGTTTAAATTGTCTTATTGACCAAGTTTAAAAAAATGGATTTTTAGAGATGCTACAGTGATAGGCTATTTTTTCAGCCACATATATACTCAAATGAAATTTTTACCTCAGATTGCAGTATATTGGTGAACATAAGCAATTTTTCAGAGATACAGGGAAAAGAGCAATCAGGAGCAAGTGGGAGAAGCAACATGTACAACAGACTGAATCCCACAGATACCTACTAGGGAGGGAGAGAGGGATACTGAGGCAGAGAGAGAGACATTAAGATACTTAGAAAGATACTGATACACATACACAGAGATGTATACCTTTGCTTTAAGAAATTAAATTATTCTTTTGGTTATTTTTGTAATTACCTACACATAGTTGAGCAAGTAACAGTTTTACAAATTGTTAGAATTTGTCCTTTTCAAAAAAAAAAAAAGGGAAACCAAAAAGTAGATAAAATAGACTTTATTATTCAGATTAAAGAATTATTTTATTAAGCACCCACCATTAACCAGAGTTATAATTTACTAAATGAAGTTTTATTTTGGAATACTTTGTTTCAAAGATCACAGGAAGAAATGTTGGTGCTGGCAAAGAAGTGATTTCAATCACTGCTTGGCAATAATATAGCATGGTGAAATGCATATTTGTGTGTTTTGTTTATAGCACATCTTCATTACCTCCACTAGACTGGCCTTTACCGACTCATTTTGGACAATGTGAGCTGAAAATAGAAGTGCAACCTAAAACTCATCATCGAGCCCATTATGAAACTGAAGGTAGCCGAGGGGCAGTAAAAGCATCTACTGGGGGACATCCTATTGTGAAGGTATGAGACTTTGGGGCTTGTTTCGCAGATACTACACACCTGTTAATCGTTAGACCGGTCTATTCGGTTAGGTACTACAGAGCCCAAAAGAGAAAACTCAAAAACTAGAGAGCCTATCTTGTTTTGTGTGCTTGTTGTTATGGCCACACTTCTGCATTGAATTTTCTTTGCTAGGCTAAAAGATACTCCTCCTGGACTGACTCTCCAATGGGGGAACCTCTAGGGAAAGATTACACTGGTGAGATAGCTGGATTTTTTTTGTTGTTCTTTTGTTTTTGTTTTGGGGTTTTTTTTTTTTGAAGAGCAATTTTCAGGAAAAGATGGCTGTTATTTTGATAAAAAAAGAGAGAGAGATTACTGTATTGTGTTTATGAATATGCTCATTTTAAATTTAAGTAATACAGAAAGGTAGAAAAAATAAAGCAATAAATTACCCAATCTAACCTTGGAAATAAAGTGTTAACATTTAACATTCCAGATAATTCTCTGTGTATATAGTTAGTGAAAGGTTGAATAGATAACTAGAATAATGAATGAATTTTTAAGAGTAGGATTATACTGAACATTTTTGTAATTAAAATATAAAATTTTTATTTGAATTTATTAGAAGAAAAACTAAAGTTTTAAAAATTATATATTTGATATATATGAAATATGTCATATATAGTTTTTAATAATAGTTGAATATTAACTTTAATTTTACTTGAATGGTACATATAAAAATGAAACTAAAGTAAAAGTAAGGACTGCTGAATCTTAGATATTGTTCTTCATTTTAAGAGTTCCTAAAAGATCTTTCTAAGGCCAGAAAAAGAGATTAAATAAATTATTGAGAGATTGAACTGTTTCAGATTTAGATGGTATGATTGACTCCTTGCTCTGAAAAATAAGGTATAATTGTCTCTCTTAAACTTAGTCTCCCTTTTCTACTCTACCTCTTGAATTTTGTTGATATACTATTTTTCCTTTTTGAGCTACAGCCCACCCACTACCCTCCCCAAATTGTTTAGTCTTAGTCCTGTATCTAGCTGGATTCACTGCTTACTACTAGTTCTTTTTTATTTATTTCATTGTTAATTTTTTTTTGTTTTTTGTTTAAGAAGGGCTTTGGATTCTATATTCTTTGGATTCTTTGAGGTTTGAGAATGTCTGTTTGTTGCATTTTATATACTCAAACATCAGAATGGCTGTATATAATAATCTTGAGTCACCTGTTTTTCTCTTTCAGAACTGTGTAGAAATTTTTTCCTGTTATCTTATGGCATTGAGTACTGTAGTAGAGAAACTAATTATACCGAAGTGATTTTCAACAAATACAATTTATGAATGGTTCAACTTTTATCTGGGCCATGTTTTATGATTATTTTCTAAACATATTTCATAGTTCTTTACAAATATTTACATTTTAGATGGGTTTTACAATGATTGGTAATAAGAAATGTCAGGAAATCAAAACAGGAATTTTGCCATTTGTTATTAGAGTCATATTTTGTTTTTAAATGAGTTTATTTCAGTTTGATTAAGGAAGCAAGTTCTTTGCTTAGTTTCTTGTCTCTTTGACTTTACCTTCCAGGGGTGAGATTATTTACAAGTGCATAAATGAAAAATCTTTTGTGGGTCCACATGATTTGTTTCCACAGTTTCCTTTAATTAAAAACTGAGCTGGGCCAGGTGTGGCAGCTCATGCTTGTAATCCCAGCACTTTGGGAACCCAAGGTGGGAGGATCGCTTGAGGCTGGGAGTTCAAGATCAGTCTGGGCATCATAGCAAGACCCTGTCCGTACAAAACATGTTTTAAAAATTAGCTGAGCCCTTTTCCACCTCTGCAAAGCCTGAGAAGTCCCAGCCTGGCCAAAAACGATGGATCTCATCGTCCTATGCCCTTCTTTGTTCCCTGTCCCCAGTTCCCCTCAATAAAGTGATTTGACCTTAAAAAGAAACAACAAAAAAAATTAGCTGAGAGTGGTGGCACATGCCTGTAGTCCTAGCTACTTGGAAAGATGAGGTGGGAGGATTGCTTGAGCCCAGGAGTTCGAAGTTACAATGAGATATAATCACATCAATGCACCCCAGCCTGGGCGATAGAGTTAGACTCTGTCTCTTAACAATAAAAAACAAAACGAGCTCGGCACAGTGGTGCATGGCTGTAGTCCCAGCTACAGGGGCTATAGTTTGCAGTGATCATGCCTGAGAATAGCCACTGCACTCCTGCCTAGGCAACATAGCAAGACCCTGTCTCTTAAAACAACAACAGCAAAGAAACAACCGATCCCTTCTCAAGGGGAGATTAACACTTCTGGTGTCATCAATATTTTTATATTCTCCTTGTGAATGACTTATTTCTTGTTGCTTGAAGAATTATTTTATAATACTTGAAATGATTGACTTGACCAGAGTATATCTGGATGTTGATGGTTGTCAGTCTTTCCCAGTACTTAAAATATTCTCTTTCAATCTGAGAGTCTTTATTCCTTCATGCCAGAAAATTTTTCTATATTGTGTATCTATATACATTTCTTATTCCATTTGTTTTGTCATTTACTTCAGTGACTCTAATTATTATTCAAATGTTTACCTGTCTTTGTCTATCCTTCATATCTGTATTCTTTTCTCTGGATGCTTTAATATCTTTTCTTTTTTTTTTCTGGTGACAGAGTTCTTGCTGTGTTGCCCAGACTAGAATGCCGTGGCGTCAGCCTAGCTCACAGCAACCTCACACTCCTGGGCTCAAGCAATCCTTCCTCAGCCTCCCGAGTAGCTGGGACTACAGGCATGCACCACCATGTCCAGCTAATTTTTTCTATATATTTTTAGTTGTCCAGCTAATTTCTTTCTATTTTTAGTAGAGATTGGGTCTCGCTCTTGTTCAGGCTGGTCTCGAACTCCTGACCTTGAGCGATCCTCCCGCCTCGGCCTCCCAGAGTGCTAGGATTATAGGTATGAGCCACTGTGCGTGGCCATCTTTTCTTATTATTTATTGTGATTTTTTTTGAGCTTTACCTCCCATGTTATTGAATGATTATTACTTGGTGCTTCCAATTTATTATTAGATCTGCAGTTATCTTTTGAATTTTAATTTGATTCTTTGACTCTATTTTCCACTCATTTGGTATTTTATTATTATATTTGCTCTCTTGATTTCTCAAATTTATATTCTTAAATTTTTTAGTATGGCACACTCATAAGCTCTGAATTCCTGGGCTGTGTGTGTGTGTTTAGTTTTTGAAAGATTTTTCTTTTTAATTATGTTCTTCAAATGCATTTTGCATAATTTGTTACTTTTTTCATTAAATAAAAACAAAACCAAAAAATCTATATTATGATTGCCTGATTGCCATGCCTTTGTCTCCATTTTGTTTGAGAGCCTTGGTCTAGTAGCCAGAGGGGCTTGGGGTAAAGAGGTAGAAAATTAGATTAGGATAGTCCTTGTTGGGTTTGGCTAAAGAAAGTGTACACTGTTATGTATTGTGGCCCTCTCTAAGTATTTCCGTGTGTATCATATTTTCATGAGTGTGGCTTGTTCCCCTAGTACAACACAGAGTTCTGGAAGATGGTAAGTAAGCCCTAGTGACCCTTATTCTGCCTCTGTCAAAGAGTCTGGAGCAGGATGTAGGATCATTTATATATTTACCCAAAACCCTGTTTTAATCTGCATACTTAGGTTATAGAATTTATTCACTTTAAATTTGTTTTTTTCTTCCTTTTAAATACACTTTTTTAAATTGACAGATAAAATTGTGTGTATTTACCATATACAACCAATTGTTTTTAAGTATATATACATTGTAGAATGACTAAATCTAGCTAATTAGCATATGTGTTCACATAGCTATGATTTTTGTTGTGAGAACACTTAACATCCACTCTCTTAGCAGTTTTCAAGAATATGATACATTGTTAACTCTAGCCACCATGTTTTACAATAGATATCTTGAACTTATTCCTCCTAACTAACTAAAATTTTGTATCCTTTGAACAACATCTCCCCAACACTATCAGCCCCTGGTAACCACCATTGTTGTTCTCTACTTCCATGAGATCAACTTTTTTTAGATTCCACATATAGATGAGATATTGTAGTATTTGTCTTTCTGTCCTTGGCTTATTTTACTAACATAATGTCCTTGAGGTTCATCCATATTGTCACAAATCACAGGATTTTCTTCTTTCTTATAATGGAATAGTATTCCATTGTATATATATACCACATTTTCTTCTCTGTCACCCAGGCTAGAGTACCATGGTATGATGGTAGTTCACTGCAACCTCTAACTTCTGGGCTCAAGAGATCCACCTGCCTCAGCTTCTTGAGCAGCTGGGACTATAGGTACACACCACCATGCCCAGCTAATTTTTTTCTCAGCTTGGTCTCAAACTCCTGGCATCAAGCAGCCCTCTCGCCTTAGCCTTCCAGAGTACTGGGATTACAGGTGTGGACCACCAAGACTGGCCCATCATGTTTCTAGTATATTCAGATCCCCTGCCCCCAAGTAATTTAGCAGAACTGGTAATAGAACTCCTTTTATTGAAGTTGCTGTAGTCTGTCCTGTAGTGACCTTCAGGCTTTAACCCTCCAGCTTTAGTTAAATTAAGCAGGCACAGACCTTTGCTATGGAAACGATATAGAAACATAACAAACAACTCGGCTTACTTTCTTCTACAAAGCAGAGGGTGGCCTGAAGAGAAGGATACTGATAGATACTAGGTGGAAGTTTTTAGAGGGTATTGTTAACAGTAGTAATAATTTGTTTATTGCCTGTAACCTAAATGCTCCTCTGGAAATGAGATGGGATGGTAGTCTAATTAGTTTATTTGATCTTCCCTTAAAATCCCTGAGATGCAAAGGAGTGGCCCTATTTTTCTTATGCTATAGTGTATACATTTGGAGCAGATGTTGGCTGAAATATATTCCCTTTGAAATCTTATATGCATGACTACCTTCCCCAACTCGTTTATTTTATCAAAGTATAAAGGACGGATGGCTTATGTCTTTGCCAAGC